CCCATCCCGGAGCACCAGGGTGGGATGGCTGGGAGGGCGCAGGGGCTGCACGCCCTTGGCAAACGAGAGCCATGGCGGGTGCGTGTCCCGACAGAGGGGTGCAGGAACCCCCAAACCTGGGGGGGGATGCTGCCCAGCTCCCCTCTTTCTCTGCTGGCTGCAAGGGACCAGGCATTCACCAGCCAGCTTGAGGATGCCCAAAACTGTCGCTCCTGCCAGCCTTGGCTGAAATCAAAGGAGCAGAGCCCCCCGCTCAGGGCAAGCCCCTTCCCCCCGACCACCACCTAGGCTTCGTTAACCGCAGGGGCAGCGGAGGGGGAAGAGGCACTGCCCCGGTCCCCTTTGGCTCCCGATGACCCTCTGCCGTTGTGCCCTCCCCTCCGAGCTTTATTACCAGGACATTTAACAAAAGTAATGAGAGCGTTTACGGCTCCGTTAAATATTCTGCAGAGCTTTGCCCGGTTTGGCAGAGCCGGGGCAGGAGTCTATGGAGGGCTTCACCCCTGGGTCATGCATACAGGCATGAGCAGGCTCCCGCTGTCCCGAAACCTTCCCGTTCGTCCTTAATGAGGGATGGAAACGAGTCCCCGGCTCACGCTCTGCCACGGCAGCCCCGGCGAAGCGGGGAGAGCCACGGGGGAAACGGCAAAAAGGAGGAAAGGATTTTAAAAAACAAGAGTAAAGGATGAAAAAAAAAAAAACACAAGACGGCAGCTACAAGTCAATGAGCTGGGTAATGAAAATTCAGGAGCCGTACGTGTTCGCTTTTATTACAAAGCCGTTCCTAGAGGGAAAGGCCGAGATTAATTCGGTACTCAAGGCTTGGGGGGGTTCGGGTCTGTTTGTTTTAACTGCTCGCTCCCCTCCTGTTTCTGGGGAAAGCAGCGCCGGGGCCAGGTGGTTATGGCCAAGCCGGCAAACCTAAATACTTTGTGTTCACCCTAACTTTTCACAACCGGGGAATTTATCTGCTCTTTTCTGAACGACGAGAGGCGGCAGGACCGACACAGAGCCGGAGCGGCAGGGGGGCAGGGGCAGGTCCCAGCACCCCCCCCCCCGCCCCGGGCTGGCAGGCGGCAGAGCCTCCGCTTCCCTGAGCGCTGAATGCAACAGGAATCACCACTTCAAAATAGATATATTCGATAATACCCCTTCCAGAAAACCACCACCAGCTGCAGAGTAACCAGGCATTTCTTGTCCAGGTTTAAATCCCAGTTTGCTAACTCATCAGTATTTGATCAACGACAACAGGGATCATTATCATTTCATAGCTCATGCCCACAGATGATGGGCATATTCCCAGCGCCCATCCCTAGAAAAGGCAACCATGTCTCTCGAAGCAGCGTCACTATGTGCTGACGGCTGCACGATGCTGTGCAAGAGCTGGGCTCCGTGGATTTAACGCAGCAGAATTGGCCCCAGCCTCTGCCGCGCCATCTTTTCCCAGTCCTGTCCCATTTTACGGCCAGCGCGGCCCCTCTCCCTTGCATCGCACCTTAACTGCGGTTTGGGGTGGGTTGGCTCCTCAGTGCCACGACATTGCCAGGAAACAGAGGGCCCCCCCAAGACTTTTCTTGCTGCAAAAAAATAGAGGGGACAGCCCAAGGCTGTGGGCAAAACCCGTCTGATGCCCAGAGCTACCCTGCACGCAGGCGATGCTCTCGTCCGAGCCGCTCTCAGCCCCCGGTCCAGCACATCCATCCCCCATCTCCTGCAGATAATTCCACGCGTGCCCCTACCCCGCGGGTATCTAAAGCCAGGTCAAGGCGGTAGCGAGGGGGGAGGCTGTCAGGATCTGACTCGGAGCTCTGGTGCGAGCAGAGCCGAGGTCTGGCGGGCAGCATCCTCCCCGAGGAGCCCGCTCCCATCCCCAGCGCTCAGACCCAACCTCAGCCCCGTTTTGGGGGGTTCTTCACCCAATTTCACGTCTCATTAACGCCTCCTGCAAGGATGAGCTGGCGAGAGGCCGGTCGGTCTCCTCGTGCCCGAGCCCCTGCTCAGCTCCACCAGTGAAAACCCTCATTATTCCCCCCGCAACACTAAGGAGCGACACAAACAGCTCCGGTGCCGCGACGTACTTGCAGTTTTTGCATTTTAAGCCGAACAACATTCCTTTCCCGCAGACGGTGCAGGTCTGAGACATCCAGTACTTGGTGGAAAACCTGCAGAGAGAAACACAGAGAGAGACCAGGGAGAGATGGAGCTGCGCTGCCCCGTCCGTGCTCCTGCAGGGACATCTCCCAGGCTGCGCTTATTTACCGAGCCCGAATTTATCCTTTCCTTGCTGCCCTCAAATACTGCGGCAGGTGTCGAAGCATCTTTTTAGGGATACCAAAGCACAAATCTGAGCCCCCCCTTTGGTTACACAGAAGGGCACAGCCTGCTCCAAGGGGATCCAAGCCGGCCAGGATGGTCATTAGCCACCGGCTCGCTGCGGCTCCCCAGCTTTGCCCACCCCAGGCCGTGGTCAGAGCCCCCAAAACACCTCCCTGCCCCAGGGATCCACATTTCCAGCCCGTCAGAGAAGCGGCTGCCCCATCGAATAGCAGCACCGCTGCTATTTCTGGTGTTTTTCCCTCCCGAGGTAGATAGGGAAGGGCAATAATCCGGAGATGGGAAATTTGCTGAAGGTTGGCAAGGTCACGGATAATACACAGCTTTTATTGATAGCGACTCAAGCCTTATCTAAACCAAATCTGAACTGAAATGGAATTTAAATGGGCTTCTAGGACAGCGCAGCCCAGCATGGGAAACAGGGGGAGCAGCCCCGAGCCCCCCGACCCAGACCAGCGATGGGAAGGGAGATGCTCATCCCCCGGCGTCGGGGGGATTGACGCGGTGGTGTGGCCGGCCGGGCATACCTGTGTTTTATCGAGTTTCCTAGATCTCGACGGGGGATCTGCGGGGACCAGCGAGGCACTGACAGCGTATCTGCGGGGAGAGGAGAGAGGGGAAACCATCGGGTGGTAACAATGGCGAGAGCTGGGGTTCAAGCTTTTGGGGAGGGAAGCAAAGGATGCACAGAGAAAACAGGGTTTGTCTGATATTTCCCGTTAGAGATGCCCCAGCTGGGCTCCCTTTCTGGAAAGCCTCTGGCTTTGTGCTTGGGTCTGCGGGGAACTGGGGTCTCCCACCCCCCCAAAACAGCCCCCAGCCCCCAGTTTGGGCCAGGGAGAGAGGTGAGAGGTGATGCACCCACCCCACGGGTGCTGCACCCACGCGCACACAGAGCGGGATCACAAAGCTCTCGGAGCCACACCGCGATGTCCAAACAAGAGAGGGAAAACAAAGCCGAAACAGCAACCGCATCGTTTATTAATGAGACATCACGTCTTGCGGTTGCGGCTGAACAAAACGCCAAGTGCCAGGTGCTTCGAAGGCAATTTAACTCCGATTCAGACAAAAAACCAAAGTCAAAAGCAGCCTCGGCGCTCTCCTTCCGAGGGAAAAGGAGGGAGAAAGGGTAACGGGACCTTGGCTGGGGAAGGAAAGAGAGATAAGTTCATTAGCACTGCAGGCAGGTAATTAA